ATAATTCCCATGCAGTCCCACCAGTTCCATAACTTACAAGGGAAACAGATAAGCTACAGAGAGCTGCGAGTCCTGGAGTTATTTACACCGAGGGAGGGCAGGAGCAGGAGACAAAGCAACACGTTTACAAGAGAGGTATTTACAGCACGGACACACAGGCCCCCCCCCACCCCTCACCTCATGGAACCACAGCAGGTCAGGTTGGGCCCGTGGTGCCCCGAGGCTGGCAGGGCTATTTACAGTATCTCACATATTAACAGCTTTACAAAGGGGGAGTTTCTTCTCATGTATATATATATATATAATATATATAAAAAAGAAAAAAAAAGAAAAAAAAAAGAAAAAAAAAAAGCACCAAGTGTCTGGATAAGAAGTCACGGGGGGCCTCCACGGGGGCTAGAGAATGCGAGGGCCGGCTGGCACCCGCGGCGTCACCGGCTGATGTCCCGGCTCGAGTCCCACAGTTTTGTGCTGGGCTCCATGCCCAGCAGGTCGAAGAAGGGGTGTTTGAGGGCCTCGGCCAGGGTGACCCGCTTGGAGGGCTCGTACTCCAGCATGCTCTCGATGAGGTCGAACAGGCGGTGGTGGTCCTCGGCCTCCGACGTCAGGTAGCGCTGCGGGGCCGAGGGGACAGGTCAGGAACGGGCTGGGACATCCCCCTGGGCTAAGCTGGGGCCATCCCTCAGCCCAGGCCTGAACTCTGGGCTCCTCTATCTGGGACAGAACTGCTGGGTTTTCACATACACCCCCCCGCCCCTTTCCCACTTCCTGAACTCTCCATGCCTTCCTCTTCCACTTGAGGTTAAACTCAGGCTTCCTACTCTATTCCAAGGTTCCCTCAGGAAGACACCAGCCCGAGCCTTTTGCTAGCTTGAGCCTGCCCAGAGGGAGAGCCTCTACACTGACGAGGGGCTGCTGCCCACCCTCCTTACCCGCAGGGGTTTGCAGTTCTCCCGGACGTAGCGTCCGGCCGAGGTGTTCTCGTCCCAGTCCAGGCGCCCGTGGTAGAAATACTTCTGTTTCCTGTTGGAATAGCAGGTGGGAACAGGTTACACCTGAGCACAACACAACCCTGAAGCAACAGCAACGTGCCAGCCCTGGCAGGGCACACGCATGGCCAGGGGACCCAGGGAATTCCCCCTCCAAAGTGGGATCCCCTCAGGGAAAAACCACTGCCCGTGAGGCAGGACAGGCTGCAACACCTGCAGGGCCCTTGCTCACCTCGTCTTCCTGACCATCCGGGAAGGAATTGGCCCCAGGATCCTCTCCATCATGGCCAGGTGCTCCCGGTTGTCGTGTGTCTGAGAGAGAGAAATGTAAAGGGAAGGCATGGAACACATTGCTGTGGTTCTGCCCCCCAGCCCTGGCTATCCCCACCCACCCAGAACCCCTTCGTGGCCAACAGCTCTCCAAGGCAGCAGTGATGGAGGGACCCCCATCAGCCCCAGGGGCTCTGGGCTGTGCTGGGAATCAGCCAGAATCCTCTCTCACCAGCTGGGAAGTAGCCACACCACACGGAGTTCTCACCTGGAACAGGGTGAAACCCACATAATACTCAAAGATGATGCAGCCAATGCTCCACACGTCACAGGGCTGGCTCCAGCCAAGCTCTGAAAAACAATGTTGTTTAAATAAACGATCCAGTTATGGCCCAGGATTTCAAATCCCTCTCCCTTTTTAAAAAACAAACAGGTGGAAAACACTTCCCACTCCAGCCAAGCCCCACCAGCAAGGCACTGCAGTGCCAAAACACCAACTGATAATCAGGGAATCATTAAGGCTGGAAAAGACCTCCAAGATCATCAAGTCCAACCTTTGACCCGTCACCGCTTTGTCACCCAGACCAGAGCAGTGAGTGCCACATCCAGTCATTTCCTGGACACCCCCAGGGATGGTGACTCCACCACCTCTTCCAAGGCCTGGCAACATTTTTTTGTGGAAAAGTTCTTCCTGATGTCCAACCTGACCCTCCCCTGGCACAGCTTGGGGCTGTTTCCTCTCGTCCTGCTCCTTGTTCCCTGGGAGCAGAGCCCAACTTCCCCTGATTCCCCCTCCTGCCAGGGAGTTGTGGAGAGGGAGAAGGTCCCCCCTGTGGCTCCTTTTCTCCCAGGCTGAACAACCCCAGAATAATGACATGGCTATAATGACAAGCTTCACAGAAAACAGCACTGGAGAGCTCTTAAACAAACACTTCCCATCTCCCAGGGCAAACCCAGGACAGCTCCTGAGCGATGTGGAGGCCCAACACTCCCCAGCCCAGCGGGCAGCACCTCGAGGGACACCCCTTCCCCGGGCAGGGACCTACCCAGGATGACTTCAGGGGCCCGGTAGTGCCTGGTGGAGACAATGGTGCTGTGGTGCTCGTGGTCAAACGTGGCGCTGCCAAAATCCACCACCCTGATGGCCGTGTTCTTCACGCTCCGCTCGTCCCGCTTCTGCACAGGCAACAACGGGATAAGTCACCCAGGAGCCCCAAGGCAGGCACTCAGGGCCCTTCCTTACACACCACGGGAAGGGAAAGCTTTGGGGGCCCCACAGCTCAGCCCCAAACAAGCTCCCACCACCAGCCAGCTGCACACCTGGGGTCCCCGTGGCTCACTTCTCACCGCCTGAACAACAGGCAGCTCGTGCAAGACGCAGACCCAAAGGGAGTGCAGGGAGCCCCTGTCGCCTGGGACACATCCCAACCTTCCCCCCCCGGGTCAGGGACACCAAGAACACAAGAGCAGACCCGACCCCAGGCAGTGTGTTACCTTTTCCAGGTTGTAGGAGAGCTCGTAGTCCGAGTTCACAAAGAGGATGTTCTCCGGCTTGAGGTCGGTGTGGGTGAGTTTATTGTCGTGCAGAACTGGGGAGGCAAAGAGAGTCGGGGTGATGGGGCAGAAGCAGAGCAAGGCTGCACCCACATCACTGCTTCAGTTTGCTCCACTTTAGCCCACATTTAGCACTGGGTGAGAACAGGCTGGCCCAGGCCAAGATGCTTCATCAGAAGCACAAAGATTTACTGTATTGATCACCAGAAGGGCAATGGGGTGGATGCTCGAGTGCCCTGAGCTACTGCCAGCCCCACAGGCCTTGGAAAACAAACAGGATTCATTCCCAGAGGGGCAGGAAGGCACAGTAAAAACTCTCTTGGCTCTGGGCCATCAGTTGCACAAGTGTCCCGGTCCCTGGGAGCTGCACAGCTCTCCAGGTCAGCCCAGTGCAGCAGGGAGAGGAGCAGGGAACACTTACACTTCACAGCCTGGCACACCTGGAAGGCCATGTGCCGTACTTGGTGGATGGGGTAAGGCAGGTAGTTGTTGTCCTTCAGGAAGTCGAAGGTGCTGAGCCCCAGCAGCTCAAAGGAGATGCACATGTGGCCATGGTAGTCAAACCAGTCAAACATCCTGACACAGAGACTGACAGAAACACTCCAGTTGGGAACAGCTCTGCGGTGCCACCCCTGCGCCAGGCTCCTCCTTCCGCTGCTCAGTCTGGACCCCACGGCCTCCAAAACCAGCCAGGATCACCTTCAGCCACACCACACCACACCACACCAAGCACCTCTCCTCCATCCCACCCCTGGAACCAGCCCTTCCAGTGCAGCACCAGGAGCACACTCACTTCGTGTTCTCGGGATCCTTCTCGTTGATTTTCTCCAGCACGTTGATTTCCAGCCGAGCGGCCTCTTTGTACTTCTCTACGTTTTTAATGATTTTGAGAGCAACACGTGCACCACCCCTGAGGGAGAAAGCGCAGGGTGAGCCATGAAGAGGGGGCAAAAGGGCTGTGTCCCGTGGAAGGGACCTTCTGACCACAGCACAGCCTCCACCACCCTTGCTGGAGCAAGTGGCTGTTTTTAAGGGGTGTCCACCAAAGCTGTGCCTTTCCCCTCCCCACATGAACAGCCCCAAGGCTTCCCCCAGCACACAGGCAGCCCAAGAGGGATAGTGCCCAGACCAGCAGAGGACACTGGAAGCCAACAGACTGATTTTCACCCCCCCAGGCTCCCACATTAATCCCAGAAAGGCTCTGCTGCCAGCTGTGGGTCCCCCCTCTCCCCACGTACCTCCGGTGATCCATGCACTGCACCACTCTGCCGAACGTGCCTTCCCCCAGCGTGCTGATAATCTCATCTGGGAGGGAGAGAAGGAGAGGGAAGGAGCTGAGAGAGGGAGCAGGACCTGGCTGCAGCGATACACAGGGCAGAGGAGAATGCATTGCAACACCTAACCTGCAACACAGCTGGAGAGACCGGAGCAGCGGAAGGCTGACACCGGCTGCACAAGGCAGCTGCCCTAATTCCCTGGCACTTCAGTAACAATACACAATATAAAACGTAGCTTTTTAACAAAAGGGGGAGGAAAAAGGAGAGGGCTTTCTCTTTAATAAACAATGAAAATAAAATGAAACAGAAAGATAAGACAGATCTGCGACTGCGATGGGAGCTTAACTAGAGAGCTAAATTATGTTACGATTTGGCTGTACATCTTTCTTGTAGCCAGTCGCCGACGCGATAGATCAGATGCCCCTCGTCGTCGTCCTCCACACTCTTGGCCCTTCTGCTGCTCTGTCGACTCCGCTGCTGGCCCAGGCAGACAGGGAATTCATCATTCACCAATCAGATTTTCAAACCAGCGCAGCAGCCAGCGTCACGCATTGGTTGGTTTGGAAATTCACATGGTTGGTTTGAGGAGGGGTTGCAGGAGGAGATTCCCAGCCAATTCATACGGCACAGAGGAATATATAACGATAGGGATATTGCAAGGGAACATGTCAAGATACAACACACTAGCTCAGAAAAGAAAAAAAAAAACAGTTTCGCTTTTCGTTGTAGCCAAAAAAAGAAAAAAAAAAAAAAAAAGAAAAAAAAAAAAAAAAAAAAAAAAAAAAAAAAAAAAAAAAAAAAAAAAAAAAAAAAAAAAAAAAAAAAAAAAAAAAAAAAAAAAAAACGGAAAAAAAAAAGTGAAAAAAAAAATAGAAAGAAAAGGAAAAAAAAAAAATAAGAAAAAAAGAACCTACAAACAGCCCCACCCGAACCAGTGTGAGAGCAGAGCTGTCGGAGCGCGGGAGCCGAAGGGGGCATGGAAGGGGCCGGCTGCTCTTGCTCCCACGGGGGCTCAGAGAGGAACAGCACCAGCCTTCGGGTCCTGGGGACCCCCTAAACATGCCAGAGGCCACAGGGAGGGGGCTCCCGGCAGCCCCACGGCCACCAGGGAGGAAGGGCAGAGGGAGGCAGGTGCCCAGAGGTCCTGCACGAGCCCAGGCTGCCCCCACAGGCACCTCCATCCCACTCCAACTCCCACACAGCTTCCCCCAGCCCCGACACTCAGGGAAAGAGGAATTCAGAGATTTCCAGAAGCAGCTCTAGGGTAACAGCAACCCATCCAAAACCGAGAGTTTACAGGGACTGCCTGGGGAAAGATGGACACTTCTTCCCAGACCCTCCCCCGAAGAAGGTGATCCTGGAAGGACTAAATTCCAGGAGAGAAGCAGAGCCCCAAAGGGAACAGGGACAGCCTGGGATGAGGCAGATAAGAGGTTTATGCCAGAGAAGAGAAAATTCCTGCCTTCGGTTCCTCAGCTAAGTATCCCCACACCTGGGAGCAACCGGCCCAGCAGACTTGGGACCCGAATCCAGCCCCCAATCCCCTCCCTGGACACACAGCCAGGACAGACCAGGCAACACTGAGAGCTCCACACACAGAGCAGAGACCGTGTCTGGGGTCTAACAGAAGTGACCAGCAGAACAGACAAGAAGAGAAAGCCAGGAAGAGCCTGGGATGGTCGCTGCCTCCACCTGAGCTGAGTGGTCTGAACGCTCTGCTCCTCCGCAAAGCCCCTCGCACGGCACCCCACGTCAGCTGGGCCCACCCAGGAGGGTCCTGCTCGGGAGGATCAGAGCCAGGGGCTTCCTGCCACGGCCCAAACCAGGGACCACGGGGATAAGCCACCCGTCACAGCCTCTCTCTGGGCCTGGGACCAGCTGAACGCGGCCGTTTTAGCCTCACACACAATCCTGCCTGGTTGGGGCTCCTACACAGCTCTCCAGGGGCGTCACCAAACGGGAGGAGCCACGGCACCACCCCAGGGACACGCCTGTCCTCCCACCTGAGCGGGCAGCACTAAGAGAGAGGGTCCGAGCCCCCCCCACCGTGCCCGGCCGGCGCAGCAGGAACTCTCTGCACCAAAAAACCTTCCTCCTCCACTCACACACACACACACACAAAAACACACACACAGTTCAAGCCGAGTCCGAAAAGAGCCGCTTAGAAAGTAAGTAGAGTTTTTTTTCTACTTACCCAGCTCGGCCCCTGGGAGAGAGAAAAGCTTTTTAAAAAAAAAAAAAAAAAACAAACAGGGCAGGCCCGGCCAGAGCAGGATACTCACCGATGAGGAGCGGCTAAAGGACCGGCTGCGGCGCCGCCTCCGCCTGTGCTTACGCCGGCTGCTTTTGCAGCTGCGGTAGCTGCCCTCGCGGTCCCGGGAGCGCCGGTACTCGTAGGAGTGGCGGTACTCGGGCTCGTAGTAGCCGTCCCCGCCCCGCTCGCGGCTGTAGTCGTTGCGCCGGTAGCTGTCACAGTAACGCCGGTCGTAGGCCCGCCGGTCCGCAGAGTGGTCGTCGTAGCTGAGGAAGGAAAGGGGGGGCGCAGTGGTGGGTGTTGGGGGTGCGGGAGGGATCATCAAATCCTCCCAACCCCCCCCAGCTCTGGTGGGGACACCTCCTGCTAGTGGTTTTATCCAGCCTGGTTTTGAGGCGTTTTCGGGGACTGAATTAATTTAAATTAAGTTGAATTCACCTCGGGGATTTTAAAGCTGTAGTAGATTCTGTATTTGACTGGTAGCCAGTAAGAGAGTCGACCTTCAGGATTTTGCTAGTGAAAAATTTCCATGTGTTTCAGAGACCTCCGCAAACGAAAAACGGCTCAAACACCTGAAAACTGTTTAATTGGGCAAAAATTCACTGCATGGTGTTTTCTGTTGAGAGCACTGATTGTTTACCTGCTTAGAAAATCCACAGCCTGCCCGTTCCAGGCCCTCACCACCCTCACAGTAAAAAATTTCTTCCCCTCTTTCCATTTGTACCCATTCCCCTTGTCCTGTCACTCCAGCTCCTGATGAACGGGAGCAGTCTCTGTCTGCTTTCCTGGTAGCCCCTTCAGATCCTGGAAGGTTCTCTGAGATCTCCACACATTTTCTTCTCCAGCCTGAACCTTCCTAACTCTCCCAGCCATGTGAGGGACACTCAGGGACATGGCAGGAGCTGACGACCCCCAGACTTGGTTAGTCTGGAGAAGAGAGGACTGACAGGGGGGTTTCATTAATGCATATAAACCCCTCCAAGGCACATGTCAGGACGGTGCCAGGCTGTTCAGATGTGCCCAGCGACAGCATGAGGAGCAATGGCCATAAACTAAACCACAAGAAGATCCACCTCAGCGGGAGGAAGAACCCTGAGATTAACTCAGCCGGCGTTAATAGTGCCAAGGCTGTGGGTTCAATCCCTGTGTGAGCCATTCACTTAAGAGCTGGACCTCCTTGTGGCTCAGAATACTCTGTGGTTCTGCGAAGAACAGGCTAGAACTGCGAGGGCAAACCCCAAATCCCCCCAGGGTGCGTTTCTCTGCGCTCTGGGTGACCCTGCTTTGGAAAGGGGTGATCTCCAAACCCAACCCGCAGCGAGGGAGGGCAGATCCGAGGCCGGCTCACCTCCGGGATCGGACGTGGTAGCTGTCCTCCCTCCGGTGCCGCCGGTCCCGCTCGCTGCTGCTCGACCGCGACCGCGTCCGCCGCCGCTTGTGCTTGCGGCTCCGGTAGCGCTCGTGGTAACTCCCGCGGCTGCTGCGCTCCGACGAGCGGTACCTTCGGGAGTGAGGCATCTGTGGGGACAGCAGGGACCCCCATCAGGCACCCAGGGACAGCGGGGACCCCGGCAGGCATCCCTGGGGACAGGGACTGGGGCGCAGCACCCAGCTCAGCGGCGTGTCCCGAGTTCTGAGAGTGGTTTTTGGAGTCCCCCCGGGGGGGTTTTTGGAGTCACCCAGGTGTATTTTGGGGTCCTTGACCACCCTTTTCTACCCACAGCACCCTGAACACGGAGGATAATTAGTCTGAGGGTGTCAATGCAGATGCGCAAGACAAAGGGGGACGAGACTGTGAGTGACCAAAGCCACCCCTAAACCAACCCTGGCACCCCCAAATTCCTCTGAACCACCCAAAAATCCCCCCTGAAATCCCTCTGAAACCAACCCTGACGGCCCGAAATTCGTCCAAACCAACCCTAAATCATCCCAAACCCCCTCAAAGCCCACATCCATATGCTGGGCACGGATGACCCCCATTCCCAGGGATCCTGCTTCGTTCCCAGGGACTCTCGGTCCCGTTTTTCCCATTTTCCCTGAGAATCAGATTGGGATCAAGGCCCTGAAGCAGCACATCCACATCCCTATTTCCCTGTAACTATTTTTAGGGGTGAAGTTTCATTTTATCCCCATTTTTGCCTTTATTTTTCCCATTTCTCCAGGATGTTGTCCTGGGACTCTCCTTCTTCCCTGTTCCCATTCCCACATTCCCATTTTTCCCCCAGAAGCAGGATTGGATGGAGGCCCTGAAGTGGCACCCATATCCCTCCCTATTATCCATGTTTCGGGACCAGGATAGATCCCCTATTCCTAACCTTTTCCCTGACCCTATTTCCATCGATTTTCCCATTTTTCCTGTGCTTTTCCCCCACATTCAGGTTGGGAATCAAGGCCCTGAAGCAGCACCAGTGTCACATCCCAGGGAGGAGGGGAGCACCCCAGAGGAAGGTGAAACGAAGCCCTGCATGTCACCAAAGTCCCTGTGCAGCAGTAACAGGGACACCCACGGGGGCAACTCCCCAGGAGACACCTCTGGTTTGGTGCCAAGCAAGGGACACCCACACCTGGGGGGGTCACGAGGGTGGGGAAGGGTCTGGAGGGGCCACAGGAGAGAGCACTGGGGGAGCTGAGGGGAGAGCTCAGGGGGCTGCAGCTTCCTCGGGAGGGGCAGCCCTGATCTCTGCTCTCTGTGAGCAGGGACAGCACCCAGGGAAGAGCTGGAGCTGTGTCAGGGCAGGGTCAGGTTGGATCTCAGGAAAATCCTTCCCCCAGAAGGTGGTTTGGGCACTGAACAGGCTCCCCAAGGCTGCCAGAGCTCCAGGGGTGTTTGGACAACACCCTGAGGGACAGGGGGGGATTGTTGGGGTGCCCTGAGCAGGGCCAGGAGATGGAATTGGATGATCCCCTTCCAGCTCAGGGTATTCCATGGTGCAATTCCCCGAGCCTGTGGGAAATGCCCAGGAGCAAACCCAGCCTTCCCAGTGCACATGAACAGAGCCCTGCAGACCCCCAGCTCGGCCCCTCTGGGGGGAACACGAGAGGTCAGAGCCAAGGAGACCCCCGGGGTGAGATGGCACAGCTCCAGCTCTCAGACATTCCCCACACCTATTTCAGCTCCCCGGGCGCGAGCAGCTCCACCTGCCTCGGCTCCACGAGCACGAATCACAGAACCACGGAATGTGGAAGGGCTGGGAGGGCCCTCAAAGCTCCCCCAGTCCCACCCCCCGCCACGGGCAGGGGACACCTTCCACCAGGCCAGGCTGCTCCGAGCTGGCCTTGAGACACTTCCAGGGATGGAATAACCCGTGCCAGGGCCGGCAGAGGAGCCCGAGCTCCCTTTGCCCACAGAGCTCCCGCAAAACACCCCCCCGGCCGCCTCCCCGCCCCGCGCTGACATCACCGGCCTGGCTCGGACAGGCACAACCGGCCCGGGGATGGGGTGACGCGTGGGGGGAGCGGGCTCGGGACCCTCAGGGCTCTGCGGGGCGGCTCCTGGTCCCCCCCCCGGGGCCTCCTCGCCGACTGCAGGGAGCGCCGAGGCCGGGGCCGGCGGGACGAGCAGCGGGGCCGGTCCGGGCGCGATGATGGCGGCGCCGGGCGGGGCCTCCCCCGCGCGGGGCCGGGAGCACCGGGACACCGGCAGGGCCGGGCCATCCAGACCCGCCGCCGTCGCCCTCAGAAACACCCACACCGTGCTTGCCCCCTTCCCCCCGCCCTCACCGGGGACCCGCCGCGGACCGGGCCCTGCCCGCCCGCGGCCTACCCGCCCCCACCCCGCCCGCCGCGCGTCACGCACCGTCCTCGCAGCCAGCCCGGTGCGCTTGTCCCACAGGAAATCCGTGATGGCGGCCGAGGGCCCCGCGGGCCCCGCTCCAGCTCCTCCTCCTCCTCCTCCTGCCGCCGCCGCCGATCCGGGTCCTGCCGCCCGCGGGGCCGCGCACGCAACGCGACGTGACGCGAGGGGCTGGGGAGGGAGCGCGCACGTACGGGCGGGATGGAAAAGGGGGGGGGCGGATGCGTCACGGAGGGAGGGGCGGAGCTACTCGCGATGGGGGCGCGGCTTCTGCGCCACGCCCCCCTCGCGTCCTTCTGGCGGGGTCAGAGAGGATGGACACGCCCACTCCTCACACAGAGCCACGCCCCGTCCCTCTGACGGTAGAGGGGCGGGGTTATAGCAGAGAGGGGAGGGATGGCCCCGCCCACCGCCTGCTGGAGCCCCACCCCGCCCTCCCCGGGTTAGACATGAGGGGCGGGGACTAGTGAGCTTCGCCCCGCCCACCCATTCAAGCCCCAGCCCCGTTTGAGTGGCCGCGCCCATCTCTCCAAAGCCACGCCCCTTGCTCGCCATATATGGGTGTATAAACTATGGTCCCACCCATTTCATCCAAACCGCGCCCCTCCTGGGCTTATCAGACTGTAACGGGGCGGGGCTACACCCGAGTGGGCGTGGTCTGCCCGGTGATGCCCCGCCCCGCCCTGCCCCTCCCCGCCCCGCCCGCCGCGGGGTCCCGGCGCCGCCGCCGCTCCCGGTGGTGCCGCCCGGGCCTCGCCGCTCCCCGCGCCGCCGCTCCCGGTGCTGCCTCCGCCGCCGGCGCCTCCTCCCCCCCGGTTCCCGGTGCTGCCGCCGCGCCCGCGCCCGCGCCGCGCGCAACAGGCGGGCTCCCGGCGGAGCGACAAACCCGCCCCGGCGTGACCGAGCGGCCGCGGGCGGCCAGCGGAGCGCCCGCCTGCCCGCCCCGGGGCATGTGCGGCGGGGCGGCGGGCAGGGCGCCCGGGCAAGGGCGTTTGAAGGAAACGTGAGGCGCGGCGGCGGCGGCGGCGGCGGCGGCGGCGGCGGGATGGAGGCGGCGGCGCCACGGCGGAGGAGCCCCGAGCCGCGGGAGAAGCCGCCGGTGCCGGACGGGGAAGCGGCGGGGGCGCCCGCGGGGACGGCGGGCGCGGCCCCGGCCTCGCCGGCGGCGACGGCGGCGGCCACGACGGAGCAGATCGTGGCGGAGGGCGAGGCGGCGGCGGCGGCGGCGGCGGGCGGCACGTTCGTGCAGCGGCAGCTCGGGGCGATGCTGCAGCCCGCCGTGAACAAGTTCTCGCTGCGCATGTTCGGCAGCCACCGGGCCGTGGAGATCGAGCGGCAGCGGGTGAAGTCGGCGGGCACCTGGATCATCCACCCCTACAGCGACTTCAGGTGGGGACCCCCGGGCCGCCCGCCGCGACCACCCCCGCCACCGGCAGCGGCACCGGCGCCGATCCCCTCGCGTCCCCGGTGCCCGCTCCGGCTCCGCCCGGTGCCCGCCGCTGTCCGTGGTGCTGAGCGCGGCCCCGCCGCCGTCGGGGCAACAAGTGCCGGTGGCCGGGGCTCCGCACCCCTCCGGGGAGACGGCTGCTCGTCCCCGGAGCCCCGGGCCGCTCTGTCCCAGCCCTTTCCCCGTCCCCGGTTATCCCGCCCGCACGGACAACTCTGTTCTGCCTCATCTGCCCCGCGGCGTTCCCGGTGCCCCGGGGGGCAGCAACAGCCCCGCCGAGCCCCGGAGCTCCGCTGACCCGGCCCCGGGCGTGCGGAGGCGGACGCAGGGACTGCCCGGCTGTGCCTCGGCCCCGGCAGCTCCCCCCGCCCTTCTCGGTGGTGTTTTTAATTTGGTGAGCAGCCACCACCTCCCCCCCCATCCCCCGGGACATGGAATCCCGCGGCTGGAGCAGGGCTGGGCACCCGGCGAGGAGCCGGGCCTGGCTCGCGGTGTCACCGGGATCACCGCGGGAGCGCGGGGATGGATGATGTGGGAGGAACTGGGTGTCACGGGGATGTTGAGTCATATAGGGTGGGCTTTCTCCACGGGGGATGAAGCTGCCAGGCAGTCATCTCCCCGCAGCAGGCTGTGACACGGCTGATGTCCCCAGCCTGGGGGGCACCTCGGAGTGGGGCTGGCACCCGCGACAGGTCCACAGCACCTGTAACCATCTCCCCTCATCGCTGGGCCCCGGCCATGCCGGCCCAGCACAATACCCAGGGCTGCCAGCCCCGAGAGCCCTTTTCCCAGGGAAGCCATCCCCAAGTTTGGGAGCCTGAGCTTGGCCAGGAGCTGCTTGTGCAAGCGGTGCCATGAGGGGAGCTGGCAGGTGGACAGCCAGGGGGATTACACCGGTGTTTATCACATTATGGGGATACACAAAGGCCGTGGAGATCAGGGCCCCGAGCGCTTGGCCTGACACCGAGTGAAGGACAGGGCCTGTCCTAAAGAGCTTAAGCCTAAATCTGACTCGAGAGCTCTGGGCAGGTTCGGACACTGTGGGGACAGTTTCCCTGCTCAGGACGTGGTGTTTCTTGGGGCAGAGTGTGGAGGTGAGGAGGCAATTGCTCAGCCCCTCCTGCCTCGGCCGGTGTCTCCTCACCTGACCCAGCAAACCCTGGAGATGGCAAGAAGGTGTTAATTTGTGAGAGGCTCCTGATCCTTCGATGGCTCCTGACCTTGGGGTGGGCTCCTCAACCCTGGGGTCGCTCCTGGCCCTGGGGTGACTCCTGACCTTGAGGTGACTCCTGACCCTGGGGTCTCTCCTGACCCGTGGGTGGCTCCCAGCCCTGGGGTGTCCCCTGCTCCCCGCCAGGTTTTGGTGCTCTCTCAACTGAAGGAGTGTCTTGTGGCATCACGACTTCCCCTCCCCTCCCTTCCCTCCCCTGCAGAGATCTGGTACCCGAATCCCAGGGTGGGTGCAGGGTGGGAAACACCCAGAGACTTCCATCACCTGCCAAGGCTGGTTTGGATCCTCCAGCACTAAGAGTTGTCCTGAGGTCACCTTTGGAGATTTGGGTCTATACCCACAGCCAGGGCTGGGGCTAATGGGGGCAACACCAGATGGGAGCTGGACTTGCTTTCCCAGGGGCCCGGGGAAGGCTCTGAGCTGGGATCCCAGGAATCACGAGCCTGGTGGAGGAAGGCTGTTATGTGTCTGCCTGAAGAATGAAAACATCCCAGGGGCATTTGCATATGAACGGGGATGCTGGATGTCCTGACATAACCAGCTGCTCCTGGAATATCTTGGCTTTTCCTCCAAAGCCTCTGAGCTCATCGAGTCTCAGCAAAAGGAGGTGGATGAGGGGTGCTGCAGGCCCGGGGCTGTGCAGCTCCTGCCCGGTGTGCACCGGCAGCTCCTTTGGAGACAGATATTCCTCCCACCTTCCCCTGCTATTGGCATTGTCTATCCTTGCTTGGCTGCAGCCTGGCTCACCCCAACAGCCTCCCCGAGTCCCTCGGCCGCCCCAGGAGCTCGGCTGGGTTTGCATAACCAGCAAAGCTTATCCCAAATCCTGCTAAGCCAGCCTGGGTGGTGGCGGGGAGCTGGCGGATGACAGGGAGCTCCAGGGAGCAAAGCCCCCGTTCTCCCCGAGTTCTCCACGGGGCACACGTCAAGTTTGGGATGGGGGGGGGGTGACACGTGTGCGTGCGCTGTCACGCCACCAGGAGATGAGAGTGACAGCCAAGCCCCTCGAGCTCCAGCCCCCCACTCCCACACACACAGGAGGTGACGTTTGCACCCCCAGACCCCTGGCCCGGTGCCGAATCGCTCCTCTCCACACGCGTTTACTCACATCTGTCCCAGCCAAGCAGCGGGGTCTTACTCATGCGTGTGGGCAGGCACGTGTGTCCTCAGCACCTGCCTCTCTGTGCTCTGCTGGACTCCAACTCTGAGCCTGGTTTTGCTGTCTAACCCTACCTGTGTCCTGCCTCTCCCCACTCCATCCCCGCCCTGCTCCGTCCCCCGCGTCCCCACCCTGCAGGTTTTACTGGGACCTCATCATGCTGCTCCTGATGGTGGGCAACTTGATCATCCTGCCCGTGGGCATCACCTTCTTCAAGGATGAGAACACCCCTCCCTGGATCGTTTTCAACGTGCTCTCGGACACTTTCTTCTTGGCTGACCTGGTGCTGAACTTCCGGACAGGCATCGTGGTGGAGGACAACACGGAGATCATCCTCGACCCCCACACCATCAAAATGAAGTACCTGAAGAGCTGGTTCCTGGTCGACTTCGTCTCCTCCATCCCTGTCGACTACATCTTCCTCATCGTCGACCTGGAGACCCAGGTGGACTCTGACGTCTACAAGACAGCGCGGGCCCTGCGCATCGTCCGCTTCACCAAGATCCTGAGCCTGCTGCGCCTGCTGCGCCTCTCGCGCCTCATCCGCTACATCCACCAGTGGGAGGAGGTGAGAACCCCTCGGGGGTCACCCTGGTTGGGGTTTCAGGTCAGCTCAGAGGTCCCTGGCTGTGTGGTGTGGCTGGCTGGAGGGCAGGGGGGGCTCCGAGGACCGTTCTAGGAGAGGAGTTTCCCTGCAGCTCCACCCCCCTGCCTGTCCCCCAGATCTTCCACATGACGTACGACCTGGCCAGCGCCGTGGTGAGGATCTTCAACCTCATTGGCATGATGCTGCTGCTGTGCCACTGGGACGGCTGCCTCCAGTTCCTGGTGCCCATGCTGCAGGACTTCCCCGAGGACTGCTGGGTCTCCAAGAACCACATGGTGGTGAGTGCCCGGGCAGGGGTGATTCCAGACAGGATCTGCCACGGCAGGGAGAGGATTTGGTTACACATCTCCTGCTCCAAGGCTGGAGCTGCCTGGAGCTCTGTGCTGCTGAGCAGCATCTCTCTGCTCACAGCAGTGAGATGGGGCACAGGGAATCTTTGCCTCAACTTCCCATCTCAGCCCAGCTTGCTGGTGCTGATGAGAATCCCTCAGGGAGGGGACAGGGCAGTGGGGCTCCTGCCTCCTCCCCAGAGCAGGAGCTGGTGCCACCTCAGAGCTTTGCACCATCCCAGTGCCTCCTCCTGGAGCAGAGCTCGACCTTCTTAGGCTTGGACACACATCAGCGACCCTTTTCTCTCTGGGCTTCTCAACTCCCCAGCTTAGGGAGGGGGGACTGGTGATGGGGTCCATCCCCTCAGCTCCATCCCACAGCCTGTCCCTCGCCCGCAGAACGACTCGTGGGGGAAGCAGTACTCGCACGCCCTGTTCAAGGCCATGAGCCACATGCTCTGCATCGGCTACGGGCAGCAGGCACCCGAGGGCATGACCGACGTCTGGCTCACCATGCTCAGCATGATCGTGGGGGCCACCTGCTACGCCATGTTCATTGGCCACGCCACCGCCCTCATCCAGTCCCTGGACTCCTCCCGCCGCCAGTACCAGGAGAAGGTCAGAGGGGTGGGGGGAGAGCTGCGGGGAGAGCCCTGGCACGAGTGGGTCCGGCTCTGGCACCTCTGCCCTTTCCACTCACCCTGGGGGTGTGGGGAGGGACCTCAGGCTGCCCATTGGGGTAGAGACGCCCCGTTCATCATGCTGGGGTTTGCACCCTGACATAGTGAGACCCCCATCCTGGTGTCTGCCCTGGGAACCCCTGGGACGCCCTCCCTTCTGCCCCGGAGGTGGCCTTTTGGGATGGGGCCCTGGAGTGGGGGTGAACCCTCACTTCTCCCCACCGAGGAGAGTGGATGCATTGTCTGGCCATGCAGCGGGTCCCAACTCATCCCTGTGTGCCTCCCCCTCGTCCCCACAGTACAAGCAAGTGGAGCAGTACATGTCCTTCCACAAGCTGCCCGGGGACACGCGCCAGCGGATCCACGAGTACTACGAGCACCGCTACCAGGGCAAGATGTTTGACGAGGAGAACATCCTGGGGGAGCTCAGTGAGCCCCTCAAAGAGGTGGGGGCAGCCACCCTGGGATGGATGACCCCATGGGGGGGAGAGGGGCCGGTGCTCGCTGGGGCCAGGCTGGGTGACATCCCTGCCCCTGACCCCACAGGAAATCATCAACTTCAACTGCCGCAACCTGGTGGCCAACATGCCCCTGTTTGCCAACGCCGACCCCAACTTCGTGACCGCCATGCTGACCAAGCTGCGCTTCGAGGTCTTCCAGCCCGGGGACTTCATCATCCGCGAGGGCACCGTGGGCAAGAAGATGTACTTCATCCAGCACGGGGTGGTCAGCATCCTCACCAAGGGCAACAAGGAGACAAAGCTGTCTGATGGCTCCTACTTCGGGGGTGAGGCTGGGCTGGGGGGCCTGGAGAGCTGAGGGGGGTGAGAGCTGCCCGGTTGGGGGCGGAAAGAAATTGGGGTATCGCTGATGTTTCTGCCTCCCCATCCCCCCTCTTGCCCAGTGCCAAAGGCTTGGCATTCACCTCACCCCAGGCTCTGGGGCACAGAAGGATGCCCCCCACGTTCTCCTGGGGTTCCTTGCTCAGCAGATGGGATCAGAGGGGTAGTTGGAGTGCTGAGGGCTGGGGTAGAGGGGGCATCCACCACCCCACCACCAGGGAGGAGGGGGGGTTTAAATCAGAACATCTGAAACAGTTTATAGGTTATAGACACAAGTCTGAGAGGAAAATAGGCCAGGCCACCACAGCAGCCAGGCCTGGGTCTACATGGCCTGGGGAGAGAGGAAAAGGCCGTTCCTGGCCATGGGCATGGCTGTGGCTGTCCAGGCTCTGGGGTCTGTCCCTCCTCCCGAGCCGTGCTCCACTCTTTGCAGGGTGTTGGGGTGCCAGGCGGTCCTGTTCCCGCTCTGCCTGCTGGGAAAGGGGTGGATGGCAGTGCCACCCTGACCCCCAGCCCCGTGTCCCTGCAGAGATCTGCCTGCTGACCCGGGGCAGGCGCACGGCCAGCGTGAGGGCCGACACCTACTGCCGCCTCTACTCCCTGTCCGTGGACAACTTCAACGAGGTGCTGGAGGAGTACCCCATGATGCGCAGGGCCTTCGAGACGGTGGCCATGGACCGCCTGGACCGCATAGGTGAGGAGAGATTGAGCCCTCTGTGCCCGCTCCCGGGGGCCACATCACCCCGGCCCTGCCAGGTGACGGTACCCCAGACCCTGTGGATCACAGCACCCAGTGCCCAGCAGTGAGGATGGGGGGGGGGGGGAGCACACAGGCAAGGAGCCTGCCCCCAGGATCCCTCTCTCCTCCAAGGCAGTGCTACAGAACTGGTTTCCCAGGGGAACCGTCACCCCCCCATATTTGCACTGTCTGGTGCTGGCCAGCTGCTTGTCCTCGCCCCTCCCTGGCTGTGGAGGACAGGCAGGATCCCAATCCCCATCCTGGAGCCCTTGGAGCCAGGACTCCTGTGTTTTGTCCCTGCTGCTTCCTCCGCCCCAGCCCGGACCCTCCCCAGGGTCTTGCTTGCCCTGGCACGCCGGTCTTTACTGTCCCTTCCCCGCTGCCCCCCTGCCCTCCACAGTGTCCCCGAGAGCAGGGTTGGTGACGCTCCCGCCCTCCCCCCAGGGAAGAAGAACTCCATCTTGCTCCGCAAGCGAGCCGAGCACAGCTCGGGCCCCATGAACACCGAGATGATCCAGCAGATCGTGAAGCACGACCAGGACATGGCCCACAACATCCAGGACCTGCAGCAGATGGCGATGGGCCGGGAGCTGAGCGGGAAGCCGGTGATCTGGGAGCCGCTGGTGCACGCTCCCCTGCAGACGGCGGCCGCCACCACCAACGTGGCCATCGCCCTGACCCACCAGCACAGCCTGCAGGCCCACATCTTCCTGCCGCCCTCCTCCATCTCCAGCCCGCTCTCGCCCGACACCACGCTGCTCGCCAAGCCCGTGCGCCGCTCCCAGCCCAGCCTGGGCGGCTCCCGGCCCTCCTCCGTGAGTTCTCCGTCCGGGGCGCAGTCCCACCTCCAGACGCCCGCGGCCGGCTCGCCCTCCTCCCCCATGGTCCAGTCCCAGGCGCCGCTGGAGAGCGGGGCCCAGAGACCAAGCCATGGGGCGCAGCCCCTGCCACGAGCAGCGCAGAGGGCGGAGATGCCGGCGGGGGCCAAGCAGCCCCCGGGCGGCTCCCAGCCCCAGCTCTCCAGGTCCCGCGGCGCCTCGGTGTCCACCTCGCTGCTGCAGCAGGCGGCGGGGGCGGCGTCCCCCAGCTCGGAGCAGGCGCTGCCGCCGGGGAGAACGCTCCACTACAGCCTGTCCCGAGCCACCGGCTCCCACATCTCCCTCCTGATGCAGCCCCAGCAGCTGGTGAAGCACAGGAGCATCCAGGGCCTGCCGGTGGGGCGGCTCACGCAGGATGTCCGGCTGCTCTCCGCCTCCCAGCCCTCCCTCCCCAACAAAGTGGCCCAGCAAGCCGAGGGGAGTTCCTTGAAGCAGGGCAGGAAATCCGCGGGGAACCTGGCCCGCAGGTCCTCTCCCTCGGTGGCCGGACTCCTCGCCAAGCCGTGCCCGGGGGTCCCAGCCCAGCCCTCGCACCCGCAGCAGATGCCTTCAGGATCGCTGGCTCAGCCCGCCCGCCCCGCACCGGGAGCCTCCACCCCGCAGTCCCCGGTCTCCACGTCCAGGCAGGCAGCAGGTCCCTCCCGCAAGGGCTCCGTGGCCTTCAGCCCCGAGGTGGAAACGGGGAAGCCCAAACTCCCGTCCAACATGTGAGTCCCGGCGGCACCGAGCGCAGGCAGGAGGGACCCGGGAGCCCCGAGCCGTGCCGGGGGGAAGGTGAGCTGAGAGGCGGCACCCGGGGCCTTGGAAAGGCTGTTTCGGGCACGGGGGCAGGGCAAGGATGGGCATGGAGCAGCCTCAGAGCTGGCCCAGCTGGGTGAGGAGGGGGCTCTGCTGAATGCCCCGGGGGGGGGGGGGAACCCTGGCCGGGCTCTCCCCTCCTTGTTCATGACCGTCTGTCCTGAGTCCTGCCCTCATCCTGGAGGCACAGGACAGGACAGAATCCTCGCCCCAGTTCTGGCCTCTCTGGGGAGTTCAGCTCCCCACAACTGCCCCTTGGGGGCCGGGCCCCCCACGCTGTGCCCGCGCATCCCAGGGCCCGTCCTCGGGACGGGGCTGGCGCTGGCGGCTCCTCCAGCTTGTCCTCTGTCACAGCAGTGGCCACCCCACGCTCTCCTCGATCCCCAGAGAGCTCTGCTTTGCTTTATGGGGCAGGAGGGAGAGGCAGCCCCCCGGGTCCACTGCCGGGGTGGGCGGAGGGGGATGGAGACCGTGGCAGGGGCTCCCCAGGCAGGCAGAATGTGGGGGCCCAGGGCCAGCAGAGGCCAGGTCCCCCCTCCCCAAGACCTGGGGGCAGGTGCCAGGAGCTGGGGGGTCCTGGGCAGGGCTCCCCTGGTGTGAGGAGTGCCAAGCAGCAAAGCTGGGGGCAGAGGGGTCTCCACTGAGCGGCCCCCCCAGTCCCTCTCCCCGGCTTGAGGGAGCATCTTGCCTCGGAGGTGCTGAGTCCCTGCAAGGTTGGGATGTGCTGCCAAACAGGTCCCACACCCGGGCACTGTGGCCTGGGGATGGCCTGGGGGGACCCCACTGCCTGTGGCTCTGGGACGATGCTCAGAGGGTCACACTGGGGGAACCCCATTGCCTGTGGCTCCAGTAGGATTTTCAGAGGGTTAGTCTGGGGAAGACCCCTCTGTGGCTCCAGGAGGATGTTCAGAGGGTCAGCCCGGGGGGATCCTGCTGTGGCTCCAGGAGAATGCTCAGAGGGTCACTGGGGAGACCCCTCTGCGGCTCCAGGAGGATGCTCAGCCCGGGCTCTGCTCCCCGTGCCCTGCCCTGCGGTCCCGTTTCCAGGCTGCCTGGAGATGTCAGCCACCAGCACCGCAGCGAGTGAAAGGCTGTCGCCAAGAGATGCCAACCCCGGGCAGCGCCCGGGGCACAGGCGGGGCTGTGGGGTCACCCCCTCCTCGGGGTCCACGCAACCGCCCCACGCCGCCCCTCCAGAGCCAGTAGTCTGCAATGTGTGTTCGAGCCGTGGCTCTGCCGAGCAGCCGAGCTCTGCTTACAGTGTCGCTTTGGACCAAACCGTGTTCAGTCCTGGTTAGAGTAGTGTCCCCTCCGACCCCGCCACGCTGCCGCCAGCTGCTTCCCACTCCCGGAGTCAGGAGCCATGGCTTGTGTGGTGCTCCGGGGCTCGCCTGCCCCTGGGAGGGGCCCGCAGGACCCCCGGCACAGCGGGCGAGCTCGCGTGTCCCCGTGGTACTTTACCGAAGTTGAGGTCTTCAGTTCTCCCCCCTCGTGTTTTGGATGTCGGGAGCAGCCTCCCGGAGCGCAGGGCTGCTCTGGGAGCCCACCGGGAATCCCGGCTTCTGCCAAGAGGGGATGTCCAGCACTGCCTTTTTTTTTTTTTCCCCCATGGACTTCAACTCCCCTTCCCCGCCCACCCCCACGTCCCCCCACTGCACCCCCGCGGTCGGTGTCCCCCGGGCAGCCCCTCGGGCAGGGGTCTTGCATCACTGCGTGATGTAGATGTCTTAGTGGTCATCCTGGTGTCCCCCCTGCAGAGCACGCGGGCCGGCCCGGGTGGCACCGGGAGCGGCTCCACTCCCGGCGACCGAGCCACTGGTGCCCCCTCCCCGCGCTGGCAGCCGGAGCCACCCCGTGCTCCTGTCCCCTCATCCCGGTGGGGAGGCACAAGGAGGGGGCTGGAGGGGCTGTGGGGGTGCCGGCCGTGCTCGAGTTTAGCCACCAAAGACCATGACCCTCCACTCTTGCACTCACGGCAGTCCATGTACAGAGCTTGTAGTTTTCATATCGCAGAGGATTTAAAAGCGGTTTTTTTATTTTTTGGTCGTTGTACATAATGGGTTTAAATAATAAAGAGAGATTCTGAGCTGGTCTTGGGGGGAGCCTCTTTCTGCGCTGCCTGGGGTCCCCCCAGCGCCCTGCCCGGGGGATGGGATGGGATGGGGTGGGATGGGATGGGATGGGATGGGATTGGGATGGGATGGGATGGGACAGGGAGCATCCTGGCCCTCTGCAGAGCCGGGAGCAGCCAGGACATCCTCGGGAGCCCGTGGAGGGGCCTCTCCCCGGCCCCACAGACCCGCGAGGCACCGCAGCAGCCCAAAGGCAACAGGTCCCCCTCCCGCCCACCCCAATCACTTTCGGCCCCGGGGAGATTAGTGTTTAATCTTTGGTTATTTTCCCCTTCCATCTCCCTTCCCTTTATTAACGCGGGGGGACGGGGGGAGGGGCGGGTTTGATTGCAGAGCAGACTCGAGGCATTAACGTGATTAAACGAAGGTCACACAGTGCAAGGTGGGCTGGGGAGCCGCGGTGCCCTCTTTGCTCTGCCACTCACCTGGCGCAGGACTCGGGGCTCAGGTGTGCCCTGCCCGCACCCCCAGAGTGGCACAGGCAGGGGGCAGGCAGGATGTGGGTGCCGGCAGGACAGGGACGCAGGCAGCACATAAGTGCAGGCAGGGTGCAGGCAGGATGCAGATAGGGTGCAGATGCGGGTAGGACACAGGCAGGGTGCAGGTACAGGCAGGGCTCAGGAAGGATGAAGGTGCAGGCAGGATGCTGGTGCAGGCAGGAGGCAAGCACGGGCAGAAGTCAGGCAGAGCACAGGCAGGACGTGGGTGCAGGCAGGACGCAGTGACAGGCAGGACATGGGTGCCACCCCTCCCATGCCCCGCTGACTCTCCCCACCGCAGCCCCACATCCCCGGGGCAGTCCCTGCCCGCAGGGCGCTGCTGGCAGCCCCAGCGTGCCCCCCTCTACCCCCCTCCAGCAATTAGGCTCGGTGACACACGATGAGCTCAGCGCTGATTAGCGGTTTCTCTCTAATTTGATTATTTCAGATTACCCCGCGGCCAGCCCGATTAAGGGGGCACGGGGGCTGCCCGGCCCCGAGCCGCTCAGAGGGGCTGCCGAGGGCCGGAAGACCATTCCTTGGGAATGAATTCCAGCCGGCGTCCCGTGTCCTGTTCCTATTCCAGGGCTATTCCATCCAGCCTGTGTCCCACGCCCCATCGGCTGAGGCAGCGGGGCAGGGACCGGAGTCCCGGGGCACGGCAGAGCCCCGGGGGTGAGGGCAGAGCCCCCATGCCCCCCCCGGTGCCCAGTCCCCAAGGACGCCCGTCCCTTGGGGGGCCGGTGACACCGCCCCGAGCCGCCGCGTCCCCGGCGGCGGGGAGGGAGATTAGTGGGCGCCACGGAGGGATTAATTAACTCGGGTGAGCCGGGATTAGGGGATTCGGGGGGATTCGGGGCGGACGCCAATCTGTGGGGCGGGGGCCGGGGCAGGAGCTGCGGGCAGCAGCAGGGGAAGGAGCCACGGCGTGTGCCCACCCAGGTCACGCCTGCGGGGTCCCCTCGGGGGTCGGTGGGGAGATGGACCCCCCACCCGGCACCCCGGCACGTGTCAAGTGCACCGCACCCCATACCTGTACAGCACCCCACACCTGTGCTGCACCCCACACCATAGGGTATGGATCCTGTAACTGCATCGCACCCTATACCTGTAGGGCACCCCACACCTGTGCTGCACCCCACACCATAGGGTATGGAACCCTATAACTGCACTGCATCCCAGAACTGTAGGGCGCCCCATTCCCCCAGCTCTCCCCCCCCAGCCCCAGCACACACTTGTCACCTGTCACCTCCAGGTGCATCCCCAAATTCACCTGCCGGGGATCCGTTTGGCCCTGCCCATGAAGCCACGCCCATCATCTTAACCCCGCCCTTCGGTCAATCGGTCACGCCCAGGCCACGCCCCTCCCCCGCCCCCGCGCTCCAGCCGGGCTCTCGCTCCATTCCCCCTCTCCACCAATCACCCGCGTCGGTCCCGCCCCCGCAGCGCTCCTATTGGCTCATCCCGCTTGGGCTCATCCTCGCACGATGAACCGGACCAATGAGCGCCGCCCCGCGGCCGCCCCGCCGGCCCCGCCCCTCGCGCGGGACACGCCGGGAGTTGTAGTCCAGACATGGCTCATCCAGCCGCCTCTCCCGCGGGCCAGGACTGCGAGTCCCGGCGTGCCCCGCGCGGGGGGGGCGGGGCCAGCGGGACCGAAGAGTCCGCGGGCGCCGAGTCCGGGCACGGGGGAACCATGAACGGCACCAGCACCGGCAGCGGCTCCGCGGCGGCCGAGA